TTTCTAAGTACACACTTTTCAAATGTATTGCTGGGTGTGGTGGTTCATACCCATAACCCCAAGACTTAGAAGGCTGAAGCAGGAGGATCAGGGTGAATGTGAGTCCTTTCTGGGCTAAGTACTGAGTTAAAGGCCCATTTGAATTACAAAGCAAGACCCTGACTCAAAACACAAAAACCAAAAAAAAAAAAAAAAAAAAAAAAACCCAAAAAACCCAAAAGAAAATGTAAATGAAAAATCTTTTGGGGTCAGAACTCCAATCAATATTCTTTCAGTGTCTAGAACTGTTCCTGGCCTATAATGATTTCTCAACAAATACTTGTGGAGCTGAAAGTAATAGAAAGTAATAGTATATTCTCATACTGTCACGATGGGTTGCATTGTGATTTTTAATACCATCAAAGTAAAAAACAGTAATAGCTAAGAGCTTTGGTTTTTGTTTCCTAATGGTGATTTTAAAAGACTGAAAAGTGTTAAGTGAGATATTGTTGATCTAACTGTTAGCATAGTGCTTGAGTTTACACAGTAAATGTTAAGTAGATGATAGTTTTTAGTGTTTTTCTTTACTATATGCATTTTTTCTTCTAGATAAGTGCCTATTTTTTTCTGAGATTTTAGAATTGTTAGATTGTTAGATTTTTTTCGAAATAGGGATAAGCCACTTCTTTGAGAATTATGAAATACGTTACAGATTTGGAAGAATAAAATTTACTAGATAACAAATTTATAAATAATTATTATCTTACATTCCCTATATTAACCTGAGTTCAAAATCTTATACATAATATTCATTTGAAACATATTTTAAAATAAGCAGTGCTTTAGTGTCGTAGTTTGTAGTACTTTCTGTGCCACTTTTCCTTTTAAGTTTTTCATGCATTCAGAAAGTAAAATTGAACCCTGCAAATGAATGAGTAATTTGAGACATCAGGTAATTTTTTCCCTGTATGTGGAACATATATGATATGGCTTTATAACTATTGTTAATCTACACTATACTTTGATAACGTCTTGGAGAATTTGTACCACCATATCAAGACAGATACATAAACAAGTCCAATAATGTGAAATCATTATTGTGGGTACTGAACAATGGAATTCTGTACTGTGGGTATTGAACAGTGGAATTCCGTCCAGCACAATGCTATATAACGTGTGACACATATGCAAGTTTACATTTTCTAGTAGCCACATTAAAAGGGTAAAGCAGTTAAATTAGTATTATTGAGTTATACTTACTTAAACATTAATTTATATTCATTAACTTTATTTGACTCCATATATTGAAAATATCATTTCAGCAATCAATATAAAAAGTGCTAATGAGATGTTTGCTTTTTTTTTTTTTGATAATGGGAACTGAACTCATGACTTCCTGTTTGCCAGGGAGGTGCCATGCTGCTGAGCTATATTCTCAGCCCCTTGCATTTTTTAAAATTCCAACTCTTAGAAATTTGGCATAATACGGTGAACTCTGGGCATATTTTGAGTGCTGGTGGGGAATGGTAACTAGTTCATTGGAACAATATCACTGTAGTAATTCCTGCTTTGGCTCAGTAGGAAAGTCCAAAGAACACTGATATGATGTAGAGAAGAAAAAATATCTATTCAGAGTCTTAGAATATGCCTGTTCTGGCTTTGACATTTGATATTGATATGACTATGAACATGTGATTTTTGTTTCTTGATCTCAAATGCCTACCATACTCTCTCTGGAGGCTACGGAGGCGGGAGATTTAAAAAGGGTATATGTGAAAAAAGTGTTCTGTTAAATCGTAAGGCACCATCCACATGTAAGGCCTTATTGCCTCCTTTATTGTAGATTTACTTCCATGAACTGCCCAAGGCCACATTCTAAATTGGTAAGAGAATCAGCGATAGAGTCTAGGGCTTCTGACTTCTCACCACCTGTTTCAGCTAAGGATTATTTACAATCAGCTAATTTTTTTTTCAATCAGCTAATTTTTTATTTTTAAAGTCTTTTTTATTTTAAAAATCAAGGAAGAAAGAGATTGGCAGTAAGAAATAAATTCCATATTGAACAGTTGGGGTCCTTTTGGCCACTGTCGTAATGCTTCACAGTAAAATCATACTATTTATATACCTATATACGCAGAATTGCAACCATCAAGGGTTGGACTTTATTGCTGTCATATAATATAAAGCCTTACGTTCTTTAACAACTGTTAAGTTGAACTGTGGTTTTCCTACTTTATCTCCAAAATATAGAACAACCACAAAAAAGCCTTTCGGCAGTGGGCTGGATTAATAAGCCAAATATGGATCAATTCAGTAGGTTTTCCACAGATATTTTTGGTTACAGATATAGTTCATTAATTACTATGTGTAAGACAATAGCTCTCTAGTGTGAATCCAAAGGATGCATTAATGCAGGAATAATTCAATTCAATCCATATTATTTGGTGCTTACCTGTGTAAAGCACATTACATATTTTAATGTTCAAAAGGATGTTCCTTTGATAGTTGTTTTACATATAAACATTAGTGAACAGGAGAAAAATAAGGCATATGTCTACGAAAATGTCTATTATGTATGAATAAGGAATCTATACTTTTGGAAGATGAAACATATCTGAAAAAGAATTCTAGGTTATTCAAAAAGTAATTTAAAAAGTTATGCTTGTACTTTTAGAGAGTATAAAAAGGATTAGTTATTTTTTGGTCGGTAATATTAGTGATTATTTTTATTTGTCTATGTAAATATCTATTACAGTGTTCATATTTAAATTTTTTTGGATTATTTTCTGTATTTTCTTCATAAAACTTAAAAATTACATAAAATATTTAAATATTAACCCAGTTCATTTTCACAGAGAAAAAGAAATATATTCAAAAAGTTCTTTACTTTATTCTTAATCAAAATTCTGTAAAATAACTTCTACTGGTTATTTTCATTTGAAAACCATTATATCTAAATTTCAGAATTTATGACCACACTCAATATTTGTAATGTTTATTTTCACATGCAGAATCACTGTTGTTGACTATTAATAAAATAGTTTACTGATTGACTTTTTAATTTTATTATCTTTGCACATTAGATTTTTAGAAAGCATATTTTTAAATAAAATATATTTTTCATATTATTACCCTAGCTTTATAAGCAATTCTTCTCTTCTGTCTTGTAATAACCACCATTTGAATTTTTATGATTTAGTTTAACATTATTATTATAACTTTTATTGGATGAACCTATTAACGCCCTTCGCAGCAAGATTTTGTTACACTAAATCCAGAAGCTGAACCTATTGGTTACAACTACAGAGTTTTTCTGGATTGAATTCAGATTGAGTTTAGCCATGTCCTGACATTATGAATGTAACCATGACATGTCTCTTTCATCACCCTCTTCAAAATCCTCGATCAACTTGAGTCCCATAATCCATCATTTAAATAAGCACATATTTTTTAATTTAATGATTTTTCATTGTAGGCATTTTATTTGCAGACCATCTGGCTTTGAAGGAATCCAGCCAAAATAATTAGTGGTCTCTATATTAAAAAGTACTACCCTAGTAAAATGATTGATGTACAGTATTTGCATGACTCCAGGAACTCTGAATGGATTCATTCTAGACCAGGAATCCTCAACTTGGTCCCCGGGCTATTCGGAGCCCAACTGCAGAGCAGGTGGTGAGCAAGGAAAGCTTCATCTCTATTCCAGTTTCCCCCCTTTCTTGAATCACCCCTGAGCTCTGGCTCCTGCAGATCAACTGCAGCACTAGATTCACATAGGAGTGTGAACCCTACCATGAACTTTACATTATAGGGGTCTAGATTGTGTACTCCTTTGAATAATTCAGAACAGCCTCATCCCACCCCTGTGAAACCTGTCCCTGTGCCAAAAAGGTTGGGGATCTGCTGTTGTAGACAAGTTGTAGCCGTATGGTATTTACTATCTAGATAGATGTTGTGTTTGTATTTTGGTTCAAGTATACCCTAGCAAGAACATGAAAATCTGAGGACTCTTAAGAATTTATTTTTTCAATCATGAAATAAAATTTCAAAAGCTATAAAAAACCATTGTAGTAGTGTACATTAGGAAATTTTGAGTCGTGTCTAAAAGTCACACTTAAAACCACGCAATAGTAATAGACATAGGGTGGCTGTGGGTACTATGAGATAATGTCTACTTGTCAGAAATGGATGATATGCTGTAGTTTTTTTCCATCAAAGTTCAAAAGTTAATGATGTATTTTATGTTTTTATTGCTTCTACTGAAACATCAATTAAGGAATAAAAGAGATTCTAACATTCTGTTATTTTTTACTGTGGATATATTCAGTATCACATATGAATAAAGCTATATTTGTTATATCATGCTCTATTTCATGCATCTTAAATTGTCTTTAGAAAATTTTAGTATGTATCATTTCAGTCATCTGAAAGGAATCACTTCTTCATTATACTTGTAACTTAAAACTATAAAGTATCATCTGGAAAAAAATTGGCCCAATTAAGAGAAATATGATAATGGCACAAAAACACATGTAGACATGTCTGAGAGATGATAAGATTATTTTAATTTTCCCATTTGCACTGGAATTATTTATTTTACAAATCTCCAGATCTTTTATTACTTAAAATCCTTTGCTGAATCATGAAAGGAAGCTTAAGTTAGCAATTTTCCTCTGCAAAATCTAGCTGCTAGCATCTGGTGAACATTTGGATACCTAGTCAGGTTCTATGGAAGTGATTATTTTAAGACTCTATTTCAACATGCCTGGGCTTAAAAATCAGCTAGGATCATACTCAGCACATGTATATTACTTTGAGGGTTTAAAAAAACTTGGTATTAGTAACAGTGATCTCTAGTCTTTTGCAGAAATGCAAATAAGTTGGAGGCGGGACAATAGGTTGTGTAGGCAGGCAGGATATGTGCCTGCAGCATGTCCACGTGCTCCTGCACAGTGACAGCTGCTTCACATGAGGACCACCCCACAGCTAGGCCCTTGCCCTCTCCTGCTCCTGACACTTACATTTAAAGTTGGCTGGCCTTTAGAACTGAGGACCAGTGTCCTTGCTTGTGCCTTCCTCTGGCACCCTCGGGGCTGGTTTCTGCTTCTTCACTGGGTGTTGCTTTACTTTCAGGACAGCTGCTGGAAAAAGGGAATACTTTTACTCAATTGGAAATATAGTCAGAAGCAGGATTATCACAAAACGCATTTTTCTGGATCATAAGAGAAATATATACTAGAAATACATAGATAGATACTTCAATAAAAATGCTTTTATTTACCAAAATTGAGTTGCACATTTAGGATATAATAGAAGCTTTGTATCCCAATTAGGAGCTAATAATTTTATTGTCTCTATGCAGTAAAGTATACACTTGCTTATTTTTGCACATGTACTGGTATGGGTAGAGCCTGGAGTGTCTCCTACAGGTCCATGTGTTAAAGGCTTTGTCACCAACATGTGGCACTATTGGAAGGTGGTACAATTTTGTGAATTGTGCTTGGTGGAAAAAAATGAATTCATTCTGGACAAGTACTTCAATGAATTTCTGAGACTCTGGCTATCCTCTTTCTATTTTGCTTCATGGTTGCCATGAGGTGAACAGGTTTTCTTAACTGCTGGCTGCCATTATTTTGTGCCGTGTCACTCCAGGCCCACAGCAGTAGGGCCACGCGATCATAGGCTGAACACTTTAATGATAAGCCAAAATAAACCATTTCCTCTTTTTATAGTGATTCTTGAAGGTATTTGTTATGGTAATGGAAATCTGATCAACATGTAATGCAGATATAAGTTTTGTTCAAACAGAAAATATAGTGCATATTTTTATTATTTTTCATGGTTATACACCACATTTTTTATTCATTTAATTTCCATTAATATACAGTTGGGATAATTTTGAAAGGATTTTGGCATTTGCTATAGAGAAAGGAAATTTGAGGAAAGAATATCTCAGGAAGAAAACAGGTTTATTTGAGGAAAGTGAACTTTTTGTACATGTTTTCTGCCCAATTTTTATGCAACAATATTTGAGTAGAAATTATTCTTAGTTATCTGCCCAATTAGGTTTAATAGGGCTGTAGTTTGACAACATTTTCAGATTTTATTTGAACTTTTGATATAATTTAACTGGTAGAATATTTTTCTACTTTGTACATTTTCTATCATCTAGACATTTTATAAAGCAAGTGAGATTTTTCTTCACTTGCACTGAATTTCAGAAACTTAATTCTGTATTTGGAGTAATAATGCCTATTTTGTTTTGGTCTGTTAAGATTTTAATAGGAACAACTTTAGAAAATTAAATAAAAAGATTTGATTGTGGGCTGACTGTGCCCCGGTCATTGATAGTGCAGGGAGAGAAGCTCTGAACGATGTTTTCCCCGTGTTTGGAGGGTCCATTTGTCCCTTCTGAACCCTGGAGCTTTCCCACATTCTTGCAAAAATAAAAAAGATTTGAAAGCTCAGATTTGTTAATTAGGAATGAGTGCAGGATTGGGTATCCAACTGATACATTTTGTAATATGATATAAGCAGTACATTCTAGAACAGTATTGTCTAATAAAATAGTCTGTTATAATGTAAATATTCACTATTTTACTATTCAATATGGTAGCCACTTGTGGCTATTTAATCCTTGAAATATGGCTAATGTGATTGAAGAGATGAATTTTTCACTTTTTAAAATTTCAATTAATTTAAGTAAAGGACCAGGGTCTAGGAGATTTGACCTTGGAGAACATGATTCTAGAGTTTCTCATTCAACATGAAGTAGATGTCTGTATATTGAACATCTATAAGATAGTAGTGTCTCAAAAGCTCAGGGGCTGGGCCCAGACATGTGGCCTCCATTTGGAGCCTGTACCATTTTTATTCAGACCTAAATGGTGGATACAGTAGCATTCTAAACTTTGGTTCAACTTGTGGGTATCCAACCACAAGTTCACATTAGATATAGGTGATCTGAGACTCTTTCATTTCTGGAAAGCCATGAGATCTCAGATTCTCTCTAATAATAAAGTTTAATGACAGCATCTAGACTCAGAAGCTTGACTTTTCCAGGATAGTATTTGTGTGGTTTGACTCACTGCAGAAGACTGCCAGATAACACATATATGTGAAAGAGGTACTCCATGAAAAATATACTTTGTAAATTATTTTTTAAAACTTTATAGATTCTGATCAGATATCAAAAAAGGGCTGATAAATACTTTTTGTGCCTCTTGTTATGTTCTTCTTTAATAAATATTTATTGAGAGGAAGAGAACAAGAAGCCACCAGGAAGCAAGCCCTCCCTGTGAATCAGCATCATGTATGGGCCTCCAGAGTGATAGCCAGATCCCAGCCTTTTCTCATGAGTCAATGTCATTTGTAGACTGTGGGGAAAGAAAACAAGAAGTCACCAAGAAGCAAGCCCTCCCTGTAAATCAGTGCCATGTGTGGGTTTTTATTTTAAAGAGAACAATACTTAAAGAATACTTAAATACTGAAACAATACTTAAAGATGCGAATAATAGTATTGGTTACACAGGTATCTGTAACTAATAATATTTCAGTTTATTTTTAAAGAATGAGCCAGAAATGTGGCAGAGGGCTAAGAACTATAATTACATTTGTTTTTCTTTTTTACATAGCAAAAATCTGATTGATTGTACTGTCCTCAACCTACATTTATTAGAGAATTTTCAAGTGTGTCACTGATGGAAATTTAAGAATGAAAACAATTAAGAATTGAGTTAGTGTAACAACAATATCTAGTACTGACATATCTGAAAATCAAAAAATGATTTCCCAAATATGTTAGTTGATAGTGTCTTGGAGTTAGACAGATAGTTTGAAAATGATTTTAAAAAATAAAATACATATCAATGGAAGAACCTACAAAGACTAAAAGAGATTAACTTTCATCATAAATACTTAAAAATAATTGCCTATAAGATCATCATGAATGAAATTAAAAGGAAAAAAGCCATTCCTTTTATTTCTTAAAAAATTTTATGCTCTATGGAAGCTTGAAAAAAGATCAAAATAATCTGTGTCCCTTCCCATTGAAGTTGAGATAGGTTATGACTGCTTTGACCAATTGAACACAGTGGCAAAGGCACATTATAAGAGCTGAAACTGAGTTACAAAAGATGGTAAAAGATTCCTGCTCTTTTACAGGAATTCTGTCTTTTTCCTAGAGTCCATAAGGAAGAAGTCTGACTTCCTTAAGGCCATGAGGCAGACAAAGCCACACGTAGGTGATCCACACAGTTAAGTGCTCCATTTGACAATGCTAGAGCAAAACTCAGCCTTCTGTCCTTGCCATGGCATTAAACAAGTGGGTCCTTAAGTTCCAGTTCATATCAGTTAGCATGTCAGAGAAACCTCCCAGACCTACCTACCTGAATGGTTGACTTATAAAATTGTAACATAAAAATGTTATTTGTTTTAAGCTGACAAGATTGATGTAGTTTGTCATGCAGCACAAATAACTGAAGTATAATCTCTCTGTCTCTCTCTGATATTTTTTACAATAAAAAAGATTTTCAAAACTGAATGAGTATTAAACAGACATGGTAGTACATGCTTGTAATTTTAGCACTCTGGGAGACTGAGGCAAAAGGACTGCAAGTATGAACCTAGCCTGGGCAAATTAGTGACTTCATGAGACTCTGCCTCAAAATGAAAAAAAAAAAAAAAAAAAGCTGAGTATATAGTTCAGTGCAGTCTTTAATCAATAGTTGTGAAAAGAAAATATGTAAAAACAACTCTAGGAAATTGTTGGAAAAAGTTGACAAGGACAATCTTAATAGCCTTTTTATATAAGAAAGTCTTTAAAATTACCAGAAAAAAATACTAAAATTATATAGTTAGTTAATGTGGGAAAATTAAATTAATAGATAATTCAAAAAAGAAGAAATTTAACAAAATGAATAAACATGTAAGAAAATTTTAACCTGATTAGTAATTAAAGAAATATGAACTAATGATGCAGTTAAAAAACTTAAAGTTTTAATTATCAAATTGGAAGAAATGAAAAATATTTAATGTTGATTTGGGTTAAATGAGAGTGTAAATGGCACAAATTTCCTGGAAAATAACCTAATATTGTATGTCCAGGACTTTAAAAGTATCCATAGCGTCTGATGATTCTAGGAATCTAAGAATTCAAGAAATATTTTACAAGAAGTATAATTATAGAAACAAAATAAATGTTAATATAGTAGATAACTTATGTATATTATATAGACTATAATATTGTTTAGATTTAGATTTTCAAGATGTTTTATTTGTTAATGTTGACCCTGAGAAAAAAGTTAAGGCTTTAAAGTATATATAGATTGAGGTTTGAATTTTACTTTGCTATTTACTTTGCTGGATGTTTGGAAATTTTCTTTGCCAAATTGCATGAGAGTCACGAGACTTGCTAGTTTTCATGTAAGAAATATGGTTCTACATGCCTATTTCATTAGGTATAGTGGTAAATGCATTTATGTATTTATGAAAAAAAAATCCACAATAGTTTCTGAATAACTTCATCTGTCTTCTTACAGCCTAAGGGCACTATCTTATCTCTATCTTCAAATTCACACCACTTCCCAAATTTATTACAAAGTTCTTTCTCTCTGTCTTCCTGCCTTCATGCATGTCTTGCTACCATAGTCCAATCCCCAGTTAGAAATTTGGAAAACCAAAGAAAAATAAATTGACTTCATTTTCTTTCTTCATTCCATTCACTGTTACTCTTCAAACAGCAAATGCACTTTGAAAAATGTAAATAATATCATACCATTCTCCTGCTTACATACTCCACCTCTTATACTCAAGAGCTCCCCCAAAACCTGACACAACTTAATGCAAGAGAGATTTATTGTAGATCAATTACATTCCCCAGTTCTCTGGTTCCAAGGCAGAAAGGCCATGGTGGAAAGGTTTGGGCAAAGCAAGGCTGCTCACATCCGGATGGTCAGGAAGTGGGGAGGAGGAACAGAGAGAGCGAGAGAGTGGGACACAGAAAAAAGAGCGGGGAGGAGGGGCAGGGGCATGAGATAGAGACAGAGACAGAGACAGAGACAGAGACAGAGACAGAGACAGAGACAGGAGAGTCAGCAGCGAGGGAGTAGTATCCAGTGAGCCATCTCTTCGAACCAGTTCTCACTTTCCATCTGCACACTCAGCTGCAGAGCTCCTCGGTGTCTGAATTTACTGCTGAGTACAGAGCCTGTATTATCCAACCACCTGCCAAACACATGAGGCTTTTGCGGAACAGTCCAGATCTAAATCATAACACCGTAACACTCAGAATCAATCTAAACTTCTTTCCTGGCTTCTGTGTTCCACAGGATTTCCACTTTGCCTGCGTTGTACCACTCTCCTTGTTCTGCACTCTCTAACTATATTGATCTTCTTATGGGACATATAATGCTGATGCTCACCTCTAAACTTTTGCTCTTCTTTTTTTCTGCGAAGTTTTCTCCCCAGAAAACCGCATGACTGGGCCCTTTGCCATTTAAATCTCAGTTGAATGTCATTTCTTCAGAAAGCTCTTTGTTTGCCACCCAATATAAACTCAACTACTCATTTTTGTATGTCTGTAATCAGATTTCCTTTAATTTTATACTAGTATTTATCTCTTTACCTTATTATGTATCTTACTCACTTATGGTCTGCCTTCACACCAGTCCAACCCCTTCTTGAGAGCAGAAAACTTGTTTATTTTGGGTACTATAACATCTCTTGCAACAAAACCAGGCCTGGCACATGGGTGGTATTCTATAAATACTTGCTGGACTCCTTATAAATAAACATATTTGTACATCTCAAACACAGAACTTGCAGAGCAAAAGAAACAAAACTGGAGATTATTTTTAAAAAGGCAGAAATGGTAAACTACATTGGTATTTTTAAAAGCTTTGATGGTTTTGATTAGAGTTAATTATATTGCTTCAATTTTGAAACACAAAAAAACCACAAACAAAATTGCACCCACATAAAATATTTTCAGGAGTGTGATGAGAGCTCCTCCATCAAATGAGATACTTTTAAAACTATACCATCACTCAACAGACTCTTTGCTTTGAAATGAAGAATATTCCCTTTCCACCAATATTTTTATTGCTGTTGAACATATGATTTACTTACTGGATATGGAACAAATCTTACTTAAATAACTTTCTTTTCAGCACTGATAGTGTTGAAAACAAGGTTTCAATTTTTGGGCGAAGGACTGCTTAATATACGCATCTAGAATATTTCCTAATTACTCCATCGGTTTAATGGGTGGTAAAGCTGTTCTTGACATCATTCACTTTGGGATCCAGGAGCCTTATGAGTTGGGCTTCAATGACCAAGTGTTATAGATGGTACATTGTGTTAACTTAAGCAGTTTAGAAGTTTGACTGAAAGATTCAGCAGGGAGCCAGAGTTCTTACTTTTTAAATATCTTCAT